TTCTGTTCATAATGGAAAGTCATTAAATTCTTAAGCAGCACGGGCAGCTGCAGGTGATTAAAGAATCGATCTTCAGATGATTAAGGAAAATGGTATTGCTATCCTAGTGATTTGACGGGGGGTATATGTTCAGTAAAAGGGCAAGGTGATGTAAACTGATAATACTTCGGTAGTATTGCGGCATTTTCTTGTTGGATCGACTGCGGATATTTGAGTTTGTTGATGGCACATGGAAATTTTAGAATGTCTCTCGTGGAATGATTGGGTATTTGAGGGTGATATGTATTCATACGACGGAACTTGGGATCAGGTATAGTGATTCGTGTGCTATATGGAGTTGGAGACTGGGAGTTCTCGTGTTCAGGCTATGTAGTGGTTGTAGATCGTGTGTATCGGCACCGTTTAGCGACCATTGGGATTTTGAGGCCCGAGTGGATCTTTCTTTGCTTGGTATATTAGATTTTGGATATGAGATTGGGGTATAGACTGGTTGTCTCAGTACTGGGTTATTCTAGACTATTGTGTTATGGGCTTGTCAGAAAATGAAACAGGTTGCGTGGCGAGGTGCATCGGATTATGTTCTAGCAGAGTGGTTTGTATTCCAAAGACCAGCGGACGGCTGGGAAGGATTGCTTTTCTTAATTGGGTCTTCATGATGGATGTCGGTGCAGAGGTTTCTACCATTGGTTCTGTTCCGGTGTTAAAGGACTTTTCGGATGCGTCTCTTGTGGCCGGGCATGTTACCGGGCGAGGTTGTGGATTTCGATATTGATTTGGTGTCGTGCACCGTATCGTACGGCTCCGGCAGGAGTTATAGTAGTGGAAGGAGCAGCTTCAGGCTTTCGTGGTAATGAGTTCGTTGGTAGGCCGATGTGGATACATGTTTAGCTTGAGTTAGCTTGGTTGGCCCTGAGTTGTATTGTTGAGGGATAGGTTGAGTCGATCGCTAGTGGACTTGCTGGTGATCTGGGGAGATCTATGAGCTGCTTTTTCGGTGTTGTGAGACGTTATGATTTGTTGGTTATGGGCACACGTGGTGCAGATCTATTGGGGATTCATAGTGGAAGTCGAGCGGGAAGAGTAATCGGATGTTGCTCGGTAAATGGAGTGTGGGTTATGACCTATCAGGTGGCGTGTCGTATGTTGTTTATTTCACCGTGGGTGCAATGAATTGCCTTGGTTTCAGACATCAAATTGTGTGTGGCTGTCGAATTTTGATCACAGTGTCTTGAGGTGCTCCATGTGTAACAGTGTTTGGATAGGATCGCGCATTGTAGCGAGGCTGCGTTGAGTTATGACCTTTCGGGGTAGATTCAGGTGTTCTATTTCTATGATGTGAGACGGGGTCTCAGCCTTGTGTTGTGATGATACTGATGAGCTTGAAGTACAGCTCTTTTGTTTGAGTTATTTTCATGATTTGAGTATATTCAGGTCGTTTCTTGTTGGTACGCGTATTATGCAAGTTGCGGCTTAGGCCTGTATTGAGGTATCATATCACCAGAGTGGTGTGTTGGATTCGAGGTGATCCTTAGAGTCATTAATGAATACGAACAGAATTGATTGCAGCTTGTTAGAGAGATAATATCAAGGTATGGCCCGAAAATCTGTTGTGATATTAGTCAAAGGGAAGTGGCTTCATGAATGGTTGATCTGAGGAATGGTTACGGTTTATCGCGTGTTTCATTTGTTTTTGGCAGTATATGGAAGTGTTGGAATAAGACTTTAGCTAATAAAAGGTTTTCTATCGGTATTTGGTTATCATGGGCAACTGCTGTAAATAGAGGCTATCGTTTCGAGTGTTTGGATTATGTGGTATTGAATATGATTTCACCTGAGGTTGCAAGTATGGGTTATTACAGCTGGTTCGGGTTTATTCTGGGTATAGATGTGAGGTTCTGATATTGTGTATGATTTCGGAAAGTGCAATGTGGTTCTATGGTTTATGGTTTAAATGGACTGTGAGATTTCGGCTATATTGTGTTGTCGGACCTATATGAGATAGGGTGACGTGAGATCACCCCGTGTATATGCTTGGTAAAGTTATTCAGCTGTTGGTTAGCTTCTAGGACAACTCTGGGTACGCTCGAGGACGAGCGTTTGTTTAAGTTGGGGAGGATGTGACGACACGACCCGTCGTCTCATGTGTTATTGCTCCGTTTCCCACATTTCATGCTTTTTCGTGTTTCGTTATCGGTATGTGGTGTGTTAGAGTTGATTTGGATTGGTTTTGATAAGAAATGAGACACTTAGTCTCTTTAAGGAAAGCTTAAGTTGGAAAAGTCAACCGAATGTTGACTATTGAGTTAGAGGGCTCGGATGTAATTTCCGGTGATTCGGTTAGCTTCGGGGGGTGATTTGTGACTTAGGAGTGCGATCGGAATTGATTTTGGAGGTCCGGTGTAGAATTTGGCTTGAATTGGCGAAGTTAGTATTTTGGCGAATTCCGGTTGATAGGCGAGATTTTGATCCGAGGGTCGGAATGGAATTCCGAGAGTTGCTGTAGCTTCGATATGTGATTTGTGATGTGTGTGCAAAATTTCAGGTCATTCGGACGTCGTTTGGTTGGGTTTTTGATCGAAAGTGCATTTCGGAAGTTTTTGAAGAACTTAGGCTTGAATCCGATGTGATTTGATGGTTTTAGCGTTGTTTGATGTGTTTTGATGATTGGAACAAGTTTGAATGATGTTATGGGATATGTCCGTGCTTTTGGTTGAGGTCCCGGGGGCCTCGGGTGAGTTTCGGGGTTGTTTCGGATCATTTTGGAGAAATTTGATATTGCTGGTTCTGGTGTAACACTGTAGCATCGCAAATGCGAAGGTTATTCTGGGAATTGCGAAAACACTGTAGCTTCGCAAATGCGAAGGTTTTGCTGGGAATTGCGAAAACACTGTAGCTTCGCAAATGCGAAGGTTTTGCTGGGAATTGCGAAAACACTGTAGCTGGGCAGAAGGGTTTTATAATATTTCATCCGCGAGGGTTATGTATTTTCCACCATTTTGAGCGAGCTTTGAGAGCTTTGAGGCGATTTTGAAGAGGGATTCAAGGAGGAATGATTAGAGGTAAGTTCCTTGGCCTAAATACTCGAGATTTTGTTAAATTTAACATGGAAATTGGTTGGAATTCATTAAAAGGGGTAAAGCTAGGGCTCGAGTTTTTGATATTTCAAATTGGGATTTGATAGGTCATTTGAGCTCGGATTTGGGAGTTCTTGGTATGTATGGACTCGTGGCGAGATGAGGAATCCGGTAATGTGAATTTTGTAATTTTTCGAGAAGTGGGCCCGGGGCTCGGGTTTTGCCAACTTAGTGAATTTTGGTGTTTTTCGAGTCTTTTCGATTGGGTTATGTTTCTTTAGCCTATTGTAATGTGTTCGTTGTGGTTTTAATCAGATTCGGCGTGCGAAGAGGTTGATTCGAAAGGCAAAGGCATAGCGAGCTAGACTTGTGGCCGGCTTGAGGTGAGTAATAGTGTAGATGATGACCTGAGGGTTTGAAACCCCGGTATATCACACTCTGACGCTATATTGAGGCAAGACACGTACTCTATGACGAGTGCGGGGTCGATTGTGACTGGGGATTGTGACCTAGTCCGTTCCAATTGATGTTCGTACTGTGTTCTTGACTAGAAATTGTTTGGTAATCATCCTACTTGGATTTTATGAATATGTTTGGGGCTTTGTGCCTATCATGTGCATCCTTCAGGGATCCTTATCACTGGTTCCATGATGCTTAGCATATTTCATGATATCAGTCATGAGTTAGACACTGCCTCGAAATGTTTAGTAAATAAATAAAGGTTTAAACACTTAGCTCTATAATTCCTAGTAATTGAAACTAACAATGAACAATTTGACTGTGCCCGAGTGGCTTGCATGCATATATATATCTGGACTGAGTGTGGATCGGGCTGCACGCCGCAGCGAATGCTACGATGATATTGCGCTTGGGCTGTAGGAGCCCCTCCGGAGTCTGAACCCCCACAGTGAGCGCGGGTACCCAAATGGATCGGGCTGCGCGCCGCAGCGGTCATGTGCATTGCATTGCATTCATGCATTTATACCTATTTGTCTTACTTGTCCTGGTATTGTTGTTGTTCCATCGTTTTATGTGCTGAATCGCTGATTATAGCTTTATATTGTAATATTTCGGAATTTCTTACTTTCAGCCATTATATATGTTTATTACTCACTGAGTTGGAAGTACTCACTTTACTCCCTGCACCTCGCGTGCAGTTGCAGGTATTGTTCACCCGGTAGCAGGTTATTAGCTAAACGAAGGTATTACCATTGTAGCTGAGCAAGGTGACCTCCAGCCAGAGGCGGATCCAGGATTTAAAGTATATGGGTTCCTGTTATATTCTCAGATTAATATACAATAATAACTGGGTTCACAGTTAGATATTCATAAATATTTGGTGGATTTTTAATAGAAATATAGGGTCTACGCAAAAGCTACTGGGTTCCCGGGAATCCGGTAGCTGCACTCTAGATCCGCCACTGCCGCCAGCGTTCGCGGCACAGGACTTCGTCTTTTGATTCCAGATTTTATTTTGTATATTATTGACCCTGTAGTCGTGTTCAGACTTCTTTAGATGCTCGTGACTTGTGACACCCCGGTCGGGTTGTGTTGGGTTGTAAATACTGGTTATTATTGTCGTTAAGCTGTATTTATCTATTCATTTATGTTTAATAATAGTTAAAGAGACGATTTGGGTTAGTTGGCTGGCCTTGTCTTCACGAGAGGCGCCATCACGACCGGGATGGAAATTGGGTCGTGACATTACTAGGCTTCAGATCACAGTGAATAATAGGTACGGGGTAACCATGATGGAGATATTCCAGAGCAGATGCAACATCAACCATGATATTCAATCTTTGCTTTATGTTTAAAGGATAATCTCGAGAATATAGTAACTTGTCTAAGCTCTCATTGGGCATGTACTCAAGTACCAATGCTTTAAAATCCAACTTACAACAGCTGCTAATGATCTTGGTGAGATTTCTATGACAGAAGATTCCGCAAAATTTCACATTCTCTATCAAAGGTTTGAAATGTACCTTCAATCTGCACATTGAAAACTTTAACAGCTACTATCGTCCCATCTGTTAATGCTCCTTTGTAAACAAAACCAAAACTTCCACTACCTAGCAAGTTATTTCCATTAAAGTCCTGAGTTGCTCTTTGAAGATCATAATAGGAAAATCTTTGTGGTGCTACATCTGGCAACCACTCATCATCAGCTTTGATTGTTTTACCGTGACGTCTCATCAACACGAAAACTATCACTAAAGCAAGGCCTACTAAAGCAATAACAGAAGAGACAACGACGATAAATATCACGATTCTTTCTTTGATTTACCATGACAGGCCTGGACATGCATTTTAGGGTTACCACATAATCCTTCGTTTGACACGAAAGACTGGTAAGGGAGATCAGCAAAAGGTCCTCCATTCGGAATTTCCCCGTGTAACCTATTGAATGAGACATTAAAGGAGTCTAGTTGCTTAAGTGCTTCTAATGACTTTGGAGTAACACCAGACATATTATTATATGAAAGATCCAACGCTTCCAAATTTATCAGTTCTCCAAATGTCTCAGGAGTAGATCCTTCAATCCTGTTATGAGCCAAGACAGTTGAGTCAATTTCTGTAGACTTCCTATTGTTTTAGGAATGTTGCCTGAGATTTGGTTCCAGGAAAGATCCAGAATTATTGCAGCCTTGAGGTTTCCAACTTCAAGTGGTAAAGAGCCATTGAAGATATTAGAAGACAAGTTCAGCTTCAAGATGTCTTTGAGGTTCCACAGACTTGAAGGTATGCCATCGGTGAAGTTGTTGGAATCAAGATAAATCTCCCTTAGGGAAGTCACATTCCCCAAGCAACTAGGAATATTTCCCTGCATTTGATTTTGTGAAAGATTTAACAAACCCAAGTTGGATAGCTCACACAAACCATTTGGGAAAGGACCACTTATTCTGTTTGCTCCAAGTGAAAACTGTTGAAGTTTTTTCAAAGAACGTAATGTCCTTGGGACAATGCCAGTCAAGTCATTGTCTTCCAGCTACAAATAAGATAAAATTCTCAAATTTCCGATTTCAATGGGAACATGGCCCCTGAGGTTACATCCATCTGCCTCAAATGTTTGAAGAGAAGAAAGATTGTCAATGGACTTAGGAAGCATTGCATTTAGGGGATTGAGAGACAATATCAATTCTCTTAAGTGTTTACAATTGGCCAAAGGAGTAATAAAGCTCAGTGGTGAAGATTCACTAATAAAGGAGTTGCCTTGCAACTTGAGAATTTCAATAAGTCTTAAGTTGCCTTGCAGCAGCTGTAATTTCCCAAGTTGTCTTGGAATTGCTCCAATCAAGTTATTTTGCAACAACAATAGGACTTGAAGTTCCGAAATAATGGTATGAACTTATTTTATGGCCAGAAATAAAATAAAAAATTCTATGGTATGAACTTATTTTATAGTTCTATTTCTTTTTTTTTTTTTTTTTTGGTGCTATGTGTTAGTAGGGGAATGAAGTCTTGGCTCCAAGCAAAGAAAAATTTATCTCTTCTATCTAAACTTATGTTATTAAAAAATAATTTTTAAATTCACTTATATACCGCTCACTTTTTGAACTAATATTGAAGAAAAATGAAAACTTTATCTCCACTAAGTTCAGAAGGTAAAGTATCACCATTCACTAGAGTGAGCACCTGTAAAAATTTGTTGTTGCAATATCTTACACAGTAACCCACCGACCAGTGTGCTATTCTTGATCAAGCTTGATTACTCCCTCCGGTTCACAATAAGTGTCCAATTTGCTTTTTCATTTTGGTTCAAAATAAGTGTCCAGTTATGTAATCAACAAAGAATTCAATTTATTTTTACAAAATAACCCCTATGTGCATATCCCTAAAAAGTTTTCTTACTCCTCACATTAAATGTTTAATTAGGGGTAGTTTAGTCATAGTAGGTATTTTTATATGGAATTTTGTATTTTCTTAATGGGCGTGCTAAAAGCAAATTGGACACTTATTGTGAACTGGAGGGAGTATTAATTTTTCATCTTGATTATTTAAGTCACTGTGTGTTTTTTCTGTTAATAAATATAATAATGGAAGTGATATTTTGTGGACGAAGATGAGTATGCTATTGGATAACATGAGGGGCCGAGCTTCAAGATTATGTCAAAGACTCTCGTAAAGATAGGCAGTGAAGTCGCATCATACAACATTCAAAAAGATCGTCTTTATTAAGTCTTCAGAAAGTTTGCCCCATCATACCCTCGTTACAAGTTAAATACTCCCTTCGGTCCAAAATAAGTGATTTTTTAGCTGTTTTCACACAGATTAACAAAATTCACTTTTTAATATTAATAAGCAATGAAATTGACCATATTAACCTTTACTATCTCTTCACATAAAAACTTCTAACACAACTCCAACATTATTTACTCCAAGGACAGTGTAGGAAAAAAATAACTAATTCATTCTTGAAATCAGGAAAAATACAATCACTAATTTTGGACCGAAGGGAATACTAGCTTGATAGAAGCAGTACTTTTCTCAATTTGCATTTAGCATGCTCTTTTAGCATTCATAAATACGTTATTTATAGTAAATTGTGACGTTAATAGGAGTAACATAATAACATTGCATTTTTATTCAACAAGTCATGTTGCTCTGCCCTCATAATAATAGCCCCAGCCGTGCTCTATTTACAATCCTAGGTAGGTGATAGGACGTACATGATGTTTGGTTGGATGAACCTTCAACCTTTAAAAATAACTTCGGCGAAAGATAAAATTATTTTCAAGATAACCACTATGGGAACACCTTTTTCAATACAACAATTAAATATCAGTCCCAAAATAGTTGGGTCGGATATATGTAGGGGGTGTCAAAAATAACCCAAACCCATTTGACCCGCCCATTCCGCCCAATTTTTTATGGGTTCGGGCTAGAACAGTTTTGAAGATAGGCTGGTTTGGGTTATTCCAAGTTAACCCATCTTAAATCATCAGCAGATGGACCCATGATGATGCCCAACCTTGACTTATGGAAATGGAGTTATACCTAGCCACATGTTATAGCTCCGATCTCTTGTTCACTATATAGATATAGAGATACGTACTTGGTTGTACTAAAAGAAAAGAAAAATCTGCAGATCTTGAATACCAGTTGTCCGGCCATATTATTACCCAAAAAAAAAAAGTTGTTTAGATATATGGTTCGTAGCCGTAGGTAAGATTCTATATAGAAACTTCATCTTAGTGCAATTATTCAGTTTCTGTGAAAATTAAAAATCACTTCTACAATAATTTTTCAATTTTGCCAAAATTTCTCTGAATGAAATTCGGTTTTTTTTTTTTTCCAACTTTTCCACCTATCTTTTGAAACAAACGTCAATCATAATCCAACAGTTAAAACAAATGCTAATAAGTAATGATACAATTGATCAACCTAGACCGATAGATTAAGTTATGAAATTCACCCTTCTCTATCAGATTTTCATCATTAATTATTTTCGATAATACCTGTTAATGATAATGTTTTGACATTGTAATTCTTTTTGCTTATTACTAATTACTCTGAGATTCTTCGACATCATTATTTACAGTGGCATTTGTAGGCTTTCATCACCCTATGGCCTATGGTGAGAATATTGTATAGATTTGTTTAAAAATTGAGAATATTGTTTGGATTTGGGTCAAGTTGGGTGGGTTGGGTTAGACCCAATATTTAGCTCATCTTGACCAAACTCATCTAGAACCAAATGAGGGGAAAGTGCACGGTTAGCCACTAATAACACATGTATTTACTTTTAAGCCACTGTTTAAAATGTCTTTAGTCTTTAGCCATTGCTTTAAGAAACTTTAACTGCCCGGACGAAAATACCCTTCTGCTCATGTCCTTAACTCTTGAACTTAACTTCAGGACTACATGTCCTTAACTTTTGAACTTGAAACTTTAAGTTCAAGACTTCAGGACTACATGTCCTTAACTTTTAAACTTAATTTCAGGACTTCAGGACTACATGTCCTTAACTTTTGAACTTGGAACTTTAAGTTCAGGACTTCAGGACTACATGTCCTTAACTTTTAAACTTAATTTCAGGACTTCAGGACTACATGTCCTTAACTTTTGAACTTAACTTCAGGACTACATGTCCTTAACTTTTGAACTTGGAACTCTAAGTTCAGGACTTCAGGACTACATGTCCTTAACTTTTGAACTAACTCCAGGACTTCAGGACTACATGTCCTTAACTTTTGAACTTAACTTTAGGATTTCAGGACTACATGTCCTTAACTTCAATTTTATTAGCTATGATATGTATATTATATACAACATGTAGATGCATCATCCATAAAATTGTTAAAATATAATGGTCATACTACATTTATGTCCTATGACGCCTATCCGTTCATCGATCCAGTTAAGAAATACATGGTTTACAAAGGACTGACATGAGATTTTTAGCAGAATGTGTACATGAATTTTGAGTATCACTGCTCTTAGATGTCTTCCAGTTCTCTTGTAAACAAACAGTAAGTACAACGACATATAAATCCACCAATTACTCTTCGACTTTGAGGTAATTAATGAAATGAATGCATCGGCGTATTTCCGTTTGGGAAGGAAAGGGTAACACTGTCTTTTCATATTAATTTTAATAGACTAATGACTACTTTTACTCAACATTAAAAATGCTGGATAAAAAGTAAATACCACTTTAAAAAGTGGCTACCCCACACAATTTATCTTTGGGCATGATTGGGCATTAGCCATTTATTTACGTAATTTTTACCTCTTATAGCAAAGGTTAACACCTTATTTATTTTAAATAAATACCATTTAAAAAAATTATATTATATAGATACCTTTTAATGTTTATAGCAATATCTAATTTTGGTTACCTCCTACCCCAAAGCCACTAAATACGCTATTCAGTTACACTATTTTCTTTCTCTCTCTACTTTGATACATGCCATTCTCTCCTCCCATTCCCTAAAAACACGATGCTCAATCTCAAAATTCCTCTCACCCACATCACCTACGATATAACATAAATGATGTCTTAAACATCAATACCACACAAGAGGGGGGGTGATTTGTGTGGTACCCAGTTTTCGCTTAACTGAACTATAGAAGAACCTGGTTTTTCTAGGTGTTCCAACTACTACTGTTTGCGGAATAATAGATACTGAAAATAAAGAACACATAGATTTTTACGTGGAAAACACCTGGCTCAAAAGGTAAAAAAACCACGACCTACTACTCAGTAGGATTTTTCCAAACTTCCACTAAAATCACTGAGCCAAAACAGCATTTACAAAACTCTTGTAAACCTAAGGATTAACTCTAATCCCGTTGTAGCACACAGCCTCAACTGTTGCGACAACTTCAAGTTAGCTATAACTTGAACACTCTAGGTACCTAATACAATTGCTTCTATGAAAGCTGAAAGGTACAATCTTAAACCACCTACTACAATTGAACTAGAATAAAAGATAAACACAATGTAACTGGTTCTTCTATCTCGTTCAAGAGGCTTCAGGAGTGCACACTTAAATCACACATAAATTGCTTGCAAAATCGCCTTGCTCTTTTGCTCTCAATTTAGTTTAACTTCTGCGTATGTGCAATGCCTGTAAAAGAGAACAATAACTGTCGTTTAATAGGTTAGTGATCAGAGTTTGATTAGGACTCAATTGCTGCTCTTCTATCGTAGAAGAGTTCATGATGTTCTCAAACTCTAACACTATCTTCATCCCGGATTGTGTTCTCTTCATCTAAGGAGACTTTCTCCCCTTATCTAATATGCAACCTTTTCGATCAGATCAGGAGATATTGCTGCTTGATCAGTAGTCCTTATCTCTTCACGTGCATCTCACATGTATAGATTGATCATGACTGTGCTTCACAAGATGGACCTGGTCCATGACTGAGTTCTTTTGTCAATCTTCAAAACTTTACCTATTCTTGGGCCAACAAATTTTCCCTTTTGATGATGACAAACTCTGTGCTTTTTACTGATGTGGAACCTGTAAGAACTCAGCTTAACCATCAATACTAATTTTTAGAAAATTCACTTATCATCAAGGACCAAGTTAATTAGGTTATAAATATCACTTATTTCAGAATGTGTAAAGCACAATGTCTCTTCCCCCTTTTGGCATCATCGAAAAGTTGCATACAAAGTGTGAATTTTAATAAGTACTCATGGCCACTGGGGCAACTGCAAGTGCAATCATGATGCAATCATCAGTAATCAAACAAACATATTTAAACTATCAAGGACAAATTAATCATTGAACAAGAGAAAAAACAGTAGTTATCATTGATAGAGATATGTTGCCACCTACAATCCACAAAAAAAAGAAAAACATTCAAACCATGAGCAAAAACAAAAAGATAGAAAAATCCTTAATCTGGGTCACCGAGGTACTAGGCAAGTTCAGGGGACAGGAGCTAGGAGTCCTAAGGCTTGGAGGAACTGGAGGGTGGGGTTGGGTTTGGAGAAGATTCAGCATGTTCTGAAGAATTCCATCATTCTTCTCCTTTTCTTTGGCAAGCTCAGATCTGAGACCATCCCTCTCAGTTTCCACTTTAACCACGCGAGCCTTGAGCCTAGCTATTTCAGCATCCTTGGCTGCACATTCCCGAACCAGAGCCCTAACTTTGCTGTTGATGGGTGTCTTCTGGGATGAACCAGGTTCATTTGGGATGGCATTGACTGGATAGTCACAAGCAAGAAGAGTGTTGATGCCAAAATGTTCCTTGCTCGAGGCCATTTCCCATTTCTTCAGAGGCACGTTGAGCATGTCCAGAACTGTGGTTAGAATAAAGCCATATGGAGTAGCATGAGCCTTGGAGCCATTAATGACCCTGTCTAGCAGCTTGATAATGAAGGCAGGCCAGTTGATTTGCTTTCCTCTTTCCAGACACTCCATAAGAACCAGATCCATGTAGTTTGCAGTGTGCCTTCTCTCCTGTCTGGTCAATAAGCACTTGTTGACAAATTCAAACACAACCTTGTGCTCAGGCCTCATTTCACTTTTCTGCACAGCCCTGGCTTCATTCACATCTTCTGAATCACAAAACCTCCTGGTGATCTCAAGAGCAGTAGGGAGGGAGTCCAGGCATGGCCACCTTTGCCTTGTATAGTCATCAAACCCTTCAGAGGGTATGTCCAGAATTTCTCCCAATTTTTGTGCATCAAACTGCACTTGAACTCCTTTCACCAGGCTGCTAACAATGCCTTCCTTGACCACAACATTTGCCATAAATTCAATCAGTTCATTCTTGGCTAGCCTACCATCCATCTGAAGGACCATGTCCTTCCATCCCTGAGCAGCTAAAACATCCACCAATCTTATCATTCATGGTTCCACCAGGTCCTTCAACAGTCTACCCTTTAAAAATTTTCTTCTGCCAAACATGGCAACCTTATCCTGTTCCTTCTCAGAATCATTTTGTTTTTCTTCTCCACTCCAATCATCATCATCAGAAATCTTTGATTGTTTTGTTTTCACTGCGATCTTGTCTTTCTGGCTAGTGTAGGTTCAACAGCCTCAGACACAGTAGAAGACTTCTTGGAGGAAGTCTTAGCTTTTTGGGCTTGGGGGTAGGAACCTCTACTGAAGTACCCCTTTCTTGATGGACCAGTTCCATCTCCTCTTCCTCAACAGCCTCTGAGGATTCTGCAATATTTCCCTTTCCTTTATCCATTTTCTTTTTCTTACTTGCATCTAAAGCTCTTTGTAACTCAGCTTCACTCTACTGCTCTACCGTTAGGCAATGAAGAGGCAGTAGGTGTTGGGGATGAAACTTTTCTTTTCTTGGAAGGCTTGGCAACATTGGGGCTTTTGTTGTGGAAGTTTTTCATTTCTTTGGGTCATAGTTTGCCTCAACCTTTTTCAGCAAGTCTGCTAGGGTTTCTTCAGTAGATGAAACAGGTTCATCTCTTTGTGTGCTCAGATGAACCAACCCCTCAGCAGCTTCCCCAGAACCACTTCCCCCTGACTTCATACCACTCTCTTCTACCCTTTCCTGTTCAACCCCACAGATAGCAGGTACTACTCCTTTCTCAATTCCCCTCTCTTCACCACATGCACCCTCTCTCTCTTTTTATTTTTCAAATTTTTTTTTACCTCCACTCCTTCGTTTCTCAGGCAATTCTACATCCCTAATGGGTCCAACCAAAACAAACCTAGTCTCTAAGTTTTCAGTCACAGATGAACCTACCTTAGAAAGGGATTCTTGGGTCTTTTCAGAGTCAGAAGACCCATGTCCTTCCCCCTCAGTAGCGGATTGATAGGATTCAGAATCAGAACTGGAATCTGAGTTATGAGCTTGGCTTGCTTTCAACCTTTCATTTAATGCCTTCCTCAGAGGCCCATATGTTACAATCTTTCGAGCCAGCATTTTCACCCTATGCAGTCTAGGTTTTGGAGATTCACTGTGTGGAGTGGTTGAGGATGAATTTGAGGGAGATGGTGGTGGAGGAGTTCCAGGATTGTTTTGCGGGTTAGACATGATGGTTGGTTTCTTGAGAGAATTTGGGAATTTTTGGAGAAGAGGGTAAGTGAAGGTGAAGAAGAGTTTTTGACGGGTTGAACTTATGATGAAGGCAGGAGAAGTGATGTGTATTTAAAGAGAATTACACATTTAATAAGTAACGACAACCTTTTGCAGTGGTCAATTAGAGGTCTAATCAACCTGAAATTCCAGATTTTGAATGATCGATTTGGCTCCCCTAGATATTAGGCAAAATTTACGGTTTAGAGTTCTAGGCGGATGCTAACGGATAGATTTTTCTAGGAATTGAACATTTATAGGACTTCTGCTCATGATTGAAATATTAATCTTTCTAATTGTGCAGAGTATAGAAAACATACCTTAGCTTTCATATGAACCCATACTGATGAACCAGGTTCTTCATTTAGAACTCTCTTGAACATGCCTCAAATGCCATAATAGAAAAATTTTGTAAGAGATCAGTGAGTCATATAAACACATGTCACAGGAGTATACTAATTAAAGTATGAAGCTGAGTAAGAATTAATCTAGATATTTACACAAGTTCAAAGTTCCTAGCCAAAAGTTTTTTTTTCATTTTTTCTTTTGTGCATTCTGAGCTGGACCTATTAGGTGATCTTAATTATCCCTAACTCCAACCTGTTCCTCTCAAAATTTTCTCTACTCAGTGCTTTAGTAAAGATGTCAGCAATTTGTTTATCAGTAGCACAAAATTCTATGGAGATCAATCCTTTCTCATAGTTATCTCTTAAGAAGTGGTGTCTAACATCTATGTGCTTAGTCCTCTTATGATGAACAGGGTTCTTTGTCATACTTATAGCACTAGTGTTATCACACAATATAGGAATGCAACCAATTTCAATACCAAAATCTACCAGCTGCTGTTTGACCCATAGCAATTGAGCACAACAAGATGCAGCAGCAACATACTCAGCCTCAGCAGTGGATAAGCCCACTGAATTTTGCTTTTTAGTGGCCCATGATACAAGACATGAACCAAGAAAGTGAGCCATACCTGAGGTGCTTTTCCTATCCACAAGGAAACCTGCATAATCAGCATCACCATATCCTACTAGATTGAAATTACTCCCTTTGGGATACCAAAGACACAGATCAGTGGTGCTTTTCAAATATCTTAGTATCCTCTTGACAGCAGTCAAGTGAGACTCTTTTGGATTAGCCTGAAAGCGAGCACAAAGCCCTACACTGAAAACAATATCAGGTCTGCTAGCAGTAAGATACAAGAGTGAACCAATCATACCCCTATACAACTTCTGATCAACTGATGAACCAGGTTCATCAATGTCTAATTTAGTGGCAGTTGCAATGGGGTGTCTATTTCCTTTGATTCATCCATTATAAACTTTTTAATCAGCATTTTTGCATACTTCTGCTAATGGATCATGGTTCCATTTGGGCTTTGTTTGATCTGTAAGCCTAAGAAAAAATTAAGCTCACCCATCATACTCATTTCAAACTCACTCCCTATTAATTTTGCAAAATCCTTGCTTAGTTTATCAGTGGTGGCCCCAAAGATTATGTCATCAACATATATTTGTACCACAAGGAGATCCTTACATTTTTCCCTTAAGAATAGGGTACTGTCAATTTTACCTCTTTTATAGCCATGTTCAAGCAGGAATTTGGACAATCGTTCATACCATGCTCTAGGAGCCTGCTTGAGTCCATAGAGAGCCTTGTCTAATTTGTACACATGCTCAGGACATTCCCTGCTCTCAAACCCTGGAGGTTGTTTCACAAACACTTCTTCTTTTAGGTAGCCATTCAGGAAGGCACTTTTGACATCCATCTGAAGGAGAGTGAATTTCATGTGTGCTGCAAAGGCTATGGGGAGTCTTATTGCCTCTAGTCTTGCAACTGGAGCAAAAGTCTCATCATAATCTATACCCTCTTCTTGGCTGTAACCTTGGACCACCAGTCTTGCCTTGTTTCTTGTAACTGTTCCATCTTCATCAAGCTTGTTTCTGAAGACCCATTTTGTGCCAATGACTGTTCTGTCCTTGGGTCTTGGAACTAGATGCCAAACTTGACTTCTTTCGAACTGATTGAGTTCATCTTGCATTGCATTCACCCAATCTGCATCCTGCAAAGCCTCAACAATATTTTAGGTTCAATAATAGATAGGAAGGCATCAAAAGCACACAGATTCTTTAATTGTGATCTAGTTTTGACTCCAGATGTTGGATCAGTGATTATGTTCTCAATAGGATGAGAACTTTGATACTTATGAGGTTTCACAACCAACTGATTTCTGCTAGATGTTTCTCCCATGTTCTGCTGCTGAGGAACAGGGTCATGAACAGGTTCTTTGAGGGAATTAGTTTCACTTCCTCTTTGATTCTTTTGGTGCCACTTTAACTTGTGCTGAGACTTCAGTCAAGTCCTTTACCAGTCCAATGGCTTCATCTTCATGTTCCTGTCTCTCAGAAAGAATGTTAGTTTCATCAAACACTACATACACACTTTCTTCTACACACAAAGTTCTTTTATTGAACACTTTATATGCTTTGCTATGTGAAGAATATCCCAAGAATACTCCCTCATCACTTCTGGGATCAAACTTACCTAGGGAGTCTTTCCATTATTGTGCACAAAGCACTTGCAACCAAATGCCCTAAGATAGGATATATTTGGTTTTCTCCCTTTAAGTAACTCATAGGGAGTCTTCTCTACAAGAGGTCTAGTCATGCATCTATTGATAATGTAACATGCAGTATTTACAGCCTCTGCCCAGAAGCTGTGGGGCAGTTTACTAGAAAGAAGCATAGTTCCTAGCCATGTCTTCAAGAGTCCTGTTCTTTCTTTCAACTACTCCATTTTGTTGGGGAGTCCTAGGGGCAGAGAAGTTATGATCTATACCATGCTCATCACAGAATTCAGCAAACTTAACATTTTCAAATTCAGTTCCATGATCAGACCTAATGGATGCAAGTTGATTACCTAGTTGTTTCTGAATTTTTCTAACAAAAACAGTAAATATTTCAAATGATTCATCTTTAGATGTTAGAAATAGTACCCAGGTAAATTTAGAATAATCATCAACAAGTACCATCACATATTTCTTTCCACCTCTGCTCAAGGTTCTCATTAGACCACAGAGATCCATATGAACCAGTTCCAACGACTTGGTTGTGCTTACCATTTTCTTGCTTTTGAAGGATGATCTTACCTGCTTCCCCCTTGCACAGGCCTCACAAACTTTGTCTTCCTTGAACTTGATGTTAGGTAGCCCTATCACCAAGTCCTTAGAGACTAATTTGTTTAGCTGATTCAGACTAGCATGACCAAGTCTTTTGTGCCACAAGAGTGGATCATTATCCAACACACTTAGGCAGGTGAGTTCATTTTCTGAAAGAGTAGACAAATCTACAATGTAAATATTGTTAACTCTTTTTCCCTGCAAAACAATCTTGTCAGTGGTAAGGTTAATCACAAAGCATTTGGTAGAGGTGAATGCTACAAGGTTACCTCTATCACACAGTTGTGACACACTGATCAGGCTGTATTTCAAGCCATCTATTAAGTAGACATTCTCAATGGAGTGTGAGTCTGTCTTACCTACCTTTCCAACCCCAATAATCTCACCTTTCTTCCCATTACCAAAGGAGACATTACCTCCCTTTAAGTCCTCAAGTGAAAGGAACTGGTTCTTGCTTCCAGTCATATGTTTTGAGCAGCCACTATCCATGTACCATATTTGGCTATTTCCCTTCACTTGGACCTGCAAAAAGAAATCAAGGGTTAATCTTAGGAACCCAAACTAGTTTGGGTCCTTTCTATAGGCAAAGGGGTAAATCAAATTTCTTTTAGCCCACCCAGGCAGCCTATTTTTCTTTTGAACAAAAGCTTTGTTCTTTTGATTGGCCTTTTCTTTTGCATTACATTCATTTTTGTAATGGCCAGTCTTCCCACAGTGTGTGCAGATTTTGTTCTCAGGAAGAGTGAGGTACTTGCTTTTAGGATCCCACTTAGGTGCTTGAGTTCCATAGCCAAGTCCTCTTTTGTTGCTACTGTGATGTTCTTGTAGCCAGGAAAGTGCATCAGAAGCCTTGTTCCATTTGCAAGTTCTGTCTAGTTCATTTTTTACCTTCCCTAGATCTTCTTTTAAGAATTTTATCTGTTCATCCTTCCTGTACAACTCATCCTTCATTTTTCCTGAGTTTTCTTCTAGGGTGAGTTGAGTGTGATCAGCTTTCTTTTTACCTGTTCCTAGTTTCAGTTTTAAGTTCTCAGACCTAAGTTCTAGGACACTGGTGTCAAGTTCAAGAACCTGGTTCTTCAACTCAACATTTTTACTATCACTCTCATTAGCCCTAGATTCTAGATTTTTGCACTTGGCTTTTAGGATCACACATTCCCTAGACAGATCTTCCTTCTCATTGTTAATTATCTCAGACTCATCAATAAACTCTAGCAATAATTCAGACAACCTTTCTTTAGACAGGAATTTAATCTTGTCTTTGAGATGAAGGACACTTATCTCTTGTTTATCATCTGATTCTCCGATAGCCATAAGTGCTTGTTCATCTCCAGCTTCATCTTCTGAGTCCTCATCTGATGTTTTTCCCCAAGCAGCAACCATAGCCTTTGTTGATCCTTTGTTCCTTTTGGGTTGGACCTGTTCCTTCGTTCAGCCCTTTCCTTCTTCCACTCAATTTCCCATTAAGGACAGTTCTTGATCATGTGATCAGTCTTACCACATTTGTAGCATCCCTCGTTGGTCTGTTTCTCAGGAACCGTTGGTTTGTTGAAGGCTGTACCTCTTGAAGAACCCTTCGTCTCATCAGGTACTTTTTGAAATCTCTTGTGATCATGGCCATTTCATCATCCTCCAGATCTGAACCTTCAACTATTCTAAGAGCCAG